AGTGCAATGTAATGTAATGTAATGTAATGTAATGTAACGCAATGTAATGTAATGTAATGTAATGTAATGTAATGTAATGTAATGTAATGTAATGTAATGTAATGTAATGTAATGTAATGTCATGTCATGTAATGTAATGCAATGTAATGTAATGTAATGTAATGTAATGTAATGTAATGTAATGTAATGTAATGTAATGTATGCATGTATGTATGTATGTATGTATGTATGTGGACACATACACACGCACATCGTTTCTGATCTACACTTGGAAAGCATGAAGCACAATGCGATGCCGTGTATGGAAGATTGATACTTCGAAGAAGCCTTGCCAGGCAACGGTCCTGCAAGAATATACGTTAAGCAGGCGTCGATGCTTCCGCTGTGGTGGAGTCAAGCAAAGCCGTTCTGTCCATGGAACGTGTGGACCTGAGATCGAAGCAGACGTGCATGGGAGGTACTGAAACATCATTTCAGGGCGGATGCTGCGTAACTGTTTCCCTCCGAGACCGACCGAGGGACCCAACAACGGTGTAGGTAGCTGGTTTATAAGCTCTTTTTGGACTGCAAGGTTCTCGCAACAAAGTCAGAAGCTTCGCACAGGGTTGCTGAAGGGTCCTCACAGTTCGTTCACAGGGTTTGTGCACAGTTTCGCACATGTTTACAGAGTTTCTTCAGGTAGTATAGCGCCCTACACCAGCGGCCTGAATAAGCACCAATAAAGTGAATCCTTTGAACTTCCTCCAAAAGGCCGATACACCTTAGCCCAAGCCGAACACCAGTTCCAATTAAGGGTTTCGGGTTTAGGGTTTGAGCAAAAATTCCATTAATTCTCCTTTACAGTCCACAGAAGTCTATCATCTATGCGGACACCTGAGTAGTTAAGGCCCCCTACACGAAGCCCTATAAGCATATCGTAGGTGGCGCTGTGGAAAACTTTATGAAATTTCCTTTATGGTTCCTATAGAGGTACCTATTTATGAATACCTTTTAAGGGGCCCAAAGCTAGAACCCAGCACATGAACGCGATCTCTGAGGTGAGACCGTTCTCTGCCCCTGACGGCTCGCAGTGCTACGCAGTGTGCTCCAGAAGCTTCCAGCGATTTAGATTGGTTTTTCGGGCTTAGGGTTTTGGGGCTTGGGGCTTAGGGCTTGCTGTTCGTGGTTTAGGGCGGAACTTGGTTTCGGGGTTTAGCGGGTTAATGGCCGCACTTGGTACAGAAGTTGAAAGTCTTCTATGGTCCTAACGTCACCATACTTACAAAGGGCGGCGGGGTTTGCAACCCTAAGACCTTAACCATTTCTTGCCAGGGGTCTGCACAAAGTTGTACCCCAAACCCTTAAGCCTAAACCCCCGTTCCTAGAATCCAAGCCCACTCGAACCCCAAGGCCCAGATTCTGAAAGCCCTCATACAGTAGAAGCCACAAAATTGGAACATCATTATCCTGGCACCCTGAAGGTAAAACTAGCAGAGATCCTAGCACTCATCATCAAAAATCCATGTTCCAAGTTTCTGGGGTTCGCTGTACTTGAGCCTTATGAAACCCTGTAACATGATGAGACATAACCACATAAGGCTCCGAGCACGCGTCACTGCCCTACTCCCCCATAGACTGTGAAGAAACTCTCTTTAACTGTGAAGTCGCCTTACTTGAAGGTTCATGGGACTTCGTATCTAGGGAGATGAGTTCGGCAACTGTACTTCTAATCACATACACCCCCGAATAAGGTACTTATAACCTTACTAAGTCCTGAGAGCCTGCAAGTAAAGCTTGTAGAGCCCTGTAGAGCCCTAAACCGTAAACCCGGAACATCTAACCCACTAAACTCCTCAAGCTTGTAATATAGGCGCCTGAATAATTAGAATACGGTTTTGGGGCCCATTATACAATAACTATGATAAGGAAGCCTCCAAAACCCTATTCTAATTATTAAGGCCCCTATATGAGAGCCCGAGACAGGAGCACTTCGGAGTGTCTGGAGCTAACAGTCGGCGCAAGCGAGATGTACAGCTTCACCGGAACTGACTCGGGGTTCTGAAGAGCTTAGGACTGTAGGTGTTCGGGTCTTCGAGATGTTTTTAGTGTATACTTCTGATTCAAGGATCTGCCATAAGTTATGGCAGGATCCCTAATATGATTTATAGCGCATATTCATGTCCATATCCCTTGACTAAAGAGCATAACCTAAAATTGAATAGGCTCCCTGCTATGCTTTAATGTATATAGCTGGATTGAGGAAGACTGCGGTAGGAAGAAAGTTCGTCGTACTCCTGCATGCTGCTCTTGAAGACCTTGCAACCCCCGTTTTTCTTATGACTCTCCACCCAGTCCTCCGTCCGGAACATTGTAGTAGTATAATTTTATTCCGGTAGATTAATTGCTCCGCTAGCCAGGCCACGTAAAATGCAGTTGTCGGTACTCCGCATCCTCCGCATAAAGGTTTCAGAAAGTGCTACTAAACTTTTTTCCTGCCGATGTATACCATAAGTTATAGTAGGACCCTTATTATAATTTAAGGTCTATTCCTTAATGAAGGGATTGTGGAAGATTTGCGGAATCGGAGGTTCTTCGTCAGGGCTTTGCTGACAGGGGACCTGTAGACACCTCATGTTGCAGAGGGCTAACGGTTTATGGGTTTTAATTTGGTGCTGGGGTTTGGGGATTTAGAGTTTGGGATTAGCATGTGTCGAGTCGCTGTGGATTGGGGTTTGGTTTAGGGTTTTTGGGTTAAGGGTTTTTGGTTTAGGCTTCTAGGGTTTAGGGTTTAGGGTTTGGGGTTAAGGGATTTTAGGGTTTAGGGTTTAGGATCCTCAAGCCGTAGAGGCTTTTGGGTGCTCCCTTTGCAAGGTTGGCGATCTAGGGTTTGGCGGACAGCAGCCCAAGAGCTCGATTTAGCCGGTGTTCTGGCATTAAAGGGTTTCTAAATGATAGCACCCGCGCCGGAGATTCGGTGTAAACCCTAATAGCCCTAAACTTAAACTGCCCTTAACCCCGAACAATAAGGTGCCATAACATACTAAATTTACTATAATATATTATAACCCCAAACCGCAGTTCCGTGAAGACGAGCCTCGCTCTCCCGTTTGCATCGCGGCCTGTCTCGTGGAACGAGGGGCACTTGGCTGCCCGCGTGTTAAACAGACTTGGCCTGCGAGCGCAGAGGAGGACGCCAAAAGACTGCCAAGAAAGTCGGGATGATCCGGGTTTAGGACTCGGAGTTCCGATGGGGAGTTAACCCTGTTATTTTCAATGTCTGGGGTTTTGGTTGGATCAAAGCATGCACGGGCCGCAACTCAGCCTCCATCCATGCTCAATATTCGCAGCATTGGGCTTAAGCAGGCAAACATGCTTATGAAAGTTCAGGTTCTAGCAACCAAACGTATTATGAATCTAGATAAGCGCGGTATAGTCATGACGATGCACACACGAATTTAGATTTACCGAATATCTAAGTCTCAAAAAAAGGCAGCAGCAGTTAAGGTTGTTCGCTTACAGGCCACCGGCTCTGCCCGTCTCCGAAACTGGGACCGACGGGTGGAAAGTTCCAGGGAAGATGGCGAGCTGCGACATGTTCATCAAACTCATGATGTCTCTTGGTCCGAGGTGGTCTAGGTTGGGTACTGCCCGCATACAGTAACAGCCTATAGTTAGGTTACTATTTTTTTGCGCCTGATTTTTGAACTGTTACTGAGTGGGGGCAATATCCAAGGTCTAGGGTTTAGGGGTTAGGATTCTCATGATGTGTTTTGGCCTGAATCTTCGTGTTTTATGGCTTAGGGTTTACAGTGCGCGGGGTTTGGGAGTTGGGGTCGTCAGCATTCGTAAATTGAGCAGCAATGAGTTGCATTCACAGGATTCGGACCACCACGGTTTAGGGTTTAGGGTTTAGGGTTTCATTTTGCCAGCGGGCCCTGAAGAGTAGGATCCTTGCCACCAGGACACCCAAACAAGGTACCTTGTTTGGAGAAGGTCCAAGGAGAAATAATATCGACAGCACCAGTGAGTCCCTAAGAGCCAGGCATCCAGGCATGGCTGGGGTTCGGGATTGTAAGGGGTTTCTGAGGGTTTAGTAAGATCACTTTGAGTCTTCAGACAGGCTGCCTAAGTCCCGCCACACAGTGCCTAAACTGGTGGTGATGACCGAGATAGCAGAGAGAGTCATGCTGGCGGCAACAGTTATCGGCTTGATTGAAAGGTAAATAAACCCGATGCCCTGTAGCCCAAACGAGCCTTGCAACCACGCGACAAAGCCCAAAAGAGCCAAGGCTCGGTGACACTGGCCGCAGTCTCAGATTCCTGGGTTTCGTGGATTCAGGGCTTCAGGCCTCTGGTGGCTGTGAGGTTTTGCCGGGACCATTTTTCCGAGGGCAGGGGGGGAAGGGTTGTTCCAGTGTTTGCATGACAGGGCTTGGTTAGAGGTCGGAAAACGGCCCCGCGTTTTGCTAGTTTTTGATCATATGCCCCGGACAAAGTCCTAGAGGAAGCCAGAATCCCAATTTAACCAAAGAAACCAACAAGAACCAAAGAAGCAAACACCAAAAAACGAACCGAAATCCCAGAGGAGATGAAACACTAAAAAAGACCGAAACCAAAAACAACAAAATCCCAGCCGAGATCCAACACCAAAGCATTGGTGCACTTGGTTTACTTGGTTGAGATCTCCTCTCGGATTTTTTGTTTTTGGGTTTGTTCTTATTGGGTGTCTTTGGTATTTTTCGTTTCGTTGCTTTCTTTGGTTTTGGATCTCCTCAGTGATTTTGCTTCTTTTGGTGTTGTTTTTTTGTTGTTTTTGGTGTATGTGTTGCTTTTTGGTTTCTTTGGTGTCTTTGGTTTTGAACCTCGTCTAGGATTCTGGTTGTTTTTGTGTTCGTTTCTTTGGTGATATTGGGTCTTGGACTTCCTGTAGGACTTTGTCCGAGGCATATTCGCAGAACTCGCGAAACGCAGGGGCCGTTTTGCGACCCCAAACCGGCTTGAGGTTTCTATAGGGTCGGTACCCTAAAGCACCGTGAGTCCGAGCTGTTCTCGCCACAATGGGATTCAGGGTTTGGGGCATGGACCCCTAAATCCCAGCCCTCTATATAATATACTACAACATGGACATATTCACATCCAGTATGTTATAGCATGGTCTAGTATGTTGTTTATAGTGAGTCATAGTATCTACAGGGTCCAGCATTCCGTTTGGGAGTTCACGATGTCGCGGTAGCTGTGGGGGTTCATAGCGGAAGCCACAGCTACGTTTGACAGCTTTGGACGCTGCAGCAGGCTGAGCATTGCTGTTCTTACTGTCGGCTGTATTGGCTCCAGCTGTACTGCTTTTATTGCTGTGGAGGTTGGACTCCATAGTGGTGTCAATTGAGAGCAGGCCTGCACGAAGAACTAGAAGTATTCAGACCTCCCTGCGCATTCAGGCGGTTCCTGCAACAGAGAATACAGCCCTTAACCTGAAACTTTAAACTGTAAGCCCAAATCCCTGAACCCAAAATCATGAACCACCAGAAAGACAGAAGATCAATATTTTTGGTGCCCGTGACATCGTGTAGCGAAGCCCACACACACACTTACAACCCCCAAGCTGCATCCTACCAATCATGTGGCTGAGCAGACTGCAGCCTAGCAGCGCGAATGACGGCCCTTCAAGACCACTCCTCCTGTAATCCTACCCCCCAAACCCTCCTGAAACTCCAAACCCGAAAGTGCTGCCAAAAGAGTTCCGGTTCAGACCCTTAAACCTTAAACCCCAACCCTAAACCCTAAACCCTGCAGAACACCCCCCCCCCCCCCCCCCCNNCCCCCCCCCCCCCTCGCCCCACCGCCCCAGGTGTCGGCAAGACAGCCCTGGTGGTGAAGTTCGTCGACGATGGCTTCAAAAACGATAACAAGCCAACCTTCGGTGTGCTCCCCAGGCTTAGGTCCTTAAGCTCCCTTTAAAAGGATTACTATAGGGGTTTCAGAATTCAGAGCTTATAAGGTTCCTACAAGGGCTAGTAACGGCTAGTATCAAGGTTTCGACAACACTCTAAACTTCTAAACCCTAAACCC